GTAGGACTGTCGGTAGGACTGTCGGTAGGACTGTCGGTAGGACTGTCGGTAGGACTGTCGGTAGGACTGTCGGTAGGACTTTCGGTAGGACTGTCTGTAGGACTGTCTGTAGGACTGTCGGTAGGACTGTATGTATGACTACCTTTAGGACTGTCGGTAGGACTGTCGGTAGGATTGTCGGTAGGACTGTCGGTAGGACTGTCTGTAGGCCTATTTCTCAAAATACTCGTTATTGTCATATTACACACAAGGTATGTCAGAATCTGAGTAAAGGCATCAGTAAGCAAGAAACCTGGCAGTTTAAAAAAAAACAACGTTATCTGTTATCAATAAAATTAAATTTAAAAAAACTGAACATAAAAGGGAATTATAACCAATGTTCCCTTTAAGCTACGCGGCCGCGCAGCTATTTCACAGACGCCGCGAAGCAGTTTTGAGTATCCGCGCAGCAAATTTCCCTGTAAGTGTGTGTTTGTGTTTGTGGGTTGTCAAATTTTGCACAGAAAAAATTGATGCTGTAAAACTTTGTACACAACTGAATGATTTTGCACACGAACCGGTAAACCTTAGAGGGAACATTGATTGTAACCCAAATATATATATATTTTAGTTACAAACATTTTTTTAAAAACTATGTAAGTCAAGATCGAAGGCGTGTCTTGATTTTCAACTCATCGCTGCACTGTTATTAAATACGTTCAATTTTAACGGACGGATACGTGCCAAGATTACATAAGTGTTTACCAAATTTTAAGTTTGTGTCTATAGTTGACCTAAATGTTGGTGTTGCACGGACAGGAAACGTGAGGCTCGCGCATGTGTGCAGGTCCATGGGCCACTGTTTGGGGGATCGCTGATTGACATAACCTTTAAATCAAAGATCCACTTAATTTTTGCCAGCTTTAAAAAAATTGCTTTTTAGACCAAGTTTTACACCCTACCTTAGCCCTATGGCATTCTGCCAACCTTAGCCCTGTGGCAGTCCGACAACCTTAGCCCTGTAGCAGTCCGACAACCTTAGCACTGTAACAGTCCGCCAACCTTAGCACTGTAACAGTCCGCCAACCTTAACCACGTGACAGCCCGCGAACCAGAGCTATGTGTATTAGAATCTATTTTACCCATCATGAAATAAACATATTTGTATACAGGTGGATAGTAAAATAAAGTTAACGGAACGTTGTTAAAAAATAGCTAAAATTGCTTGTCACTGTTTGAGCCCAGAACCCCAAACCCGCTGTTGAATAAGACCTAATTTTGTTCAGATGAATACGCTGTACATGCATGAATGCGTCCTCTCAAGAAAATCTGGCTACTTAAAAAAAAATAAAAATTCCGATACGGCTCACTGAGAAATGCAGTGTATTTCAAAGTGTTAAAGGTGCAAACCATTCAAGACCTTGCTCCACATTCACCCATTCATTTATTTTTTTTTTTTTGGGGGGGGGGCAGTGTACTACTGAGTGCATCTTTTGTTAGGTGGCTATTGGATGGGAGTGTACTACTGAGTGCATCTTTTGTTAGGTGGCTATTGGGTGGCAGTCTATCTTAACACTCTATTATTTCCTTCAGAGACCACCATTGAATAAATTGTTTTTATACAATTTTAAAGAGCATTTTTATGAGTATTCCATTGTGTTTTGTTCATCTGTATCAGAGCCGGGCGAAAACAAAGGGGAAGGGATTCGAAAGGGGAGCTTGCCCCCCCCCCTCCTCCCAGTGCAACATCAAAGGGGCGCCGAAATCGTTTTCGTATAGTACCTTAATAGTGAATTGAAAGAAAGTTCCCTGGAAGTCACAAAGACAAAGAGTGCGAAAAAAAAAAACACGTCATTTGACTGGTCCGCCCCCCGCCGGGGCGTCATTTGACTGGTCCGCCCCACGCCGGGGCGTCATTTTCTTTCTTTGACAGTCAGGGGAGAAATTTTCAGGGTTCTCCCCGGGTGGCGTACTTTTTTTTTATATATTTTTTTTTAGCACGGCGCTTGTCGTTATCTTAAGTAAAACAAATACAAAAAATTAATCAATGCTGAGCAGGTGGCCCAGATTTGAGAATC